ATCCCGTCGTTTTGATGATTTTCTTACACGTCTTTCCGCTCTTGTGGAGTCCGAGAATGACGTGGCGTCTCTGATTTGTATCGATCGACACGATTTCACCTGAAAAACAACAATTTTTCCAACAATTTAATAATTAAAAGATCAAAAAACATGAAAAAGATCAAATAAACGACAAAGTTACTGGCAAAACAACTTTTCTGATGCACTAAAAACCAGTCCGGAAACTTTTGCGACACCAGTCCGTCCGGTCCAGTCCGTCCGGTCCAGTCCGGTCCGGAAACCAGTCCGGAAACTCTAGTTTAGCTTTGAATACAATACAATAAGCTGCTTGAACTTTAAAGTAAGAGATCCAAATTAGAACCGATTCTTACTAAAATCAAATTATCGGCAAATAGGTCATTTTTTGATAAAGTTTTTAGATTAGCTTATCTTTAGAATAGCTCTAATCGACTCACCGACCTCGAAAACCCTAGGATACAAATTCACAGTTGAATATCTTTTTGTGCCATCTTTAAAGCAGAGAAATCCCTGAAGAAAGTGGTGTTCTTTATGGGCGCGCATAATCTGGCAATTGATCACTCGTTTCCTAGATAATGATCGCCTCTGTGATCGGTTCAATGGTCCAATTGGGTCCGTCGATTCCGGTGGAAGTTGTTAAAACAAAGCTACAGGTAAAAATCGCTTTTTCGTCGCTTGCTTCATTGCTTCAATTGCCCACCATAATTCTATCCCTTTGCAGTTCCAATCTGAAATCTACACATCGAATTCCGCTCGATACCAAGGCCCCTTCGATTGTGCGAGGAAACTTTTGAAAACGAAAGGAATCCGAGAATTGTATAAGGTGAGCACTATGGATTTGGGTGAGAAGTTTAGGGCTTTTGTGGCAAAGAAAAAGAAAAGAGAGAGAGGGGAAAGGGACAAAAATTTGCGGAATCTACGAGATGGGGAAAATAATGGTTCCGAAAATCGCAATTCAACAGAAAAATCGATTCTTATTTATCAACATTGAACTTGGACATGCTTGAGTTTCTAAAAAATGTCGAAGCTACCGTAATCCGTTTTCTAAAAAAAATCATACTTTATTGCAAACACTAGCTATTTGATGCACTAAATTCCAAAACAAAATAAAACAAATTTAGGGCGGAAATGTGATGGCTTTTCGCGACTGTTTCGGCAATCTTTTCTACTTGCCTGTTTACGAGAGTTTGCATAAAATTTTGCGAGATCGAGGAAGCAATACAACGACTGCACAGGCATGGCTTTAGATTCTGGCTTTAGATTTTGAAATATGTTCTGAATGGATGAATGAATGCTAATTTCTTTCAGTTAATTTCTGGTGGTTGTGCTGGATCGATCAGCTGGCTGAGTATTTGCCCGTTGGAAGTGGTCAAAAGTCGAATGCAAACAGCTGAAACAAAAGTGTTTGTCATTTGAGAGTTTAGAGTAGAAAACAAGAAGAGTTTTGGGAAATACTTTACTTTAAAGTTTACCAATGATCCCGTTTCAGATCGGCTGTGCAAGTGACGAAAGAAATCTGGGAAAAAGATGGTTTTCGAGCATTTTACAGAGGTAGCCAAACATCTTCGGTATTAATTGGTTGATTTTCCCAATGAAAATGGCCACCTATCGCATAAATTGACTGCTTAAACAATTCAAGCTTAACCAATTAAACGATTAAACCTTACTTTAAAGCAATAACCGAAAAATAGAGCACTAGTCGAAATTGGTGAAAAATAGCAAAACTGATAGTCGCCCCGCCCCTTTTGTCATTGGCAATCCAACTATGAGCCCAAATTTCTTGGTGTTGCGCTGTCCAATTGAAATAGTTTCTGTACCAATCGACAGAAAAAGACTTGGCGCATCTAATGATACCAATAATTTATAAATTGGACAGCCCAGTACCGAGAAATTTGAGCTCAAACTTAGATTGCTAATGGCGAAAAGGGGCGGGGCGACGGACCTTTTATACGCGCCCCGCCCCTTTCCCCATTGTAATACAACTATGAGCTTAAATTTCTTGGTGTTGGGCCGTCCAATTGAAATAGTTTTTGTACCAATCGACAGAGAAAGACTTGGCGCATCTAATGATACCAATAATTTATGAATTCAACAGCCCAACACCAAGATATTTGAGCTCAAAGTTAGATTGCCAATGGCAATGGGAGTGGCGCGCATAAAATTTCCGATACCACTCAAAATAGCTAACTAGCCATAGTGGTCAGCAATATCGCAATTTGTACCAAATTGCAATTCATAGATTATTCTGATTGACTATCAGATTGAATTGTTGAGCATTCAAGCTTGCCTTTCCAAGATCCCACATCCATTTTCATTTTCAGGCGGTCTTTCAATGGTTTTGCGTGGGTTCCCCGCAAATGCGGTAATCTTCCTCGTTTATGAGCAAACATTGATGTTATTAGAAAAAAGTGCGTTCCAAAGATTCCAGAGGGAGCTGGAATCTCTAGAGTTTTATTGCAAAATTTCAGATCGAAAAGAGAAATGATCTCATCAAAGAGGCGATCTTCATATCCTAAACAAATTTTGGATTTAATGCGGGTCATTTTTTGTTTGATTATTTTAAGGTATAAAATTTTGTATTATCCTATTTTTTTTGACTTACACAAATCAATTTTGCAAAGCGACATTGCTTAAAATTTCGAAAAAGCAAAATAATTCGTTGAACGCTAGTCAAGAAGCAAACGATATTACCAGACAAGCATCGTTTCGGTATCGTGCACCAATGTCATGTCACCGTCATGCAAACTGGAGCCGTACTGCAGAGATGAAAACTTGATCAATGTTTTTAACATCAGGCGTGGTGAATACAAATACATCAGGTTCCATTGTTCTGAAGAAATTTTTAATGGATAGTTTAATGGCATTAGAGAAATTATAGAGATGCAAATTAAAGTTAATTTTTGTATTACATCGTTGTATCAATTTTTTTATTACTTTACATTACATGCCAGGCAGATCTTTTTTTTAAAAAGTTGCCATTCAAGAGATCAACATCATCTTTTTTTTTTCCTTGTTCTTTATCAAATTTTCCTTTCCAAATCAGCTTTCTTAGCTTTTCTTCTTTTCAAAACGAGGAAATTTCGAGTTGATTTCATTTTCTCAAAGTGCCTTGAACATCTCATCTCTTTTTTTCTTTCCCCTTTTGATCTTCAGATTTCTTTTCTCTTCAACATGATTGACAACGCCTACGCAAGATTTTTTTAAGGACTCAAAAATATCGAAAACTTTTGGAAACATCTAGAGTTTTAAAGTTATAAGTCACTAGAGTTTTGAGGGTCTCTTTTTTAGGCCAATCCCGTCAAATTCTGAGTCACTCTGTCGTCGAGGTCACTCTATTCAATGCAAAAATGACAGGTTACCGTATTTGCTCTAATAGTAGTGCACCCCGGCGAGCCGAGTTGATACCTATTTTATGGTTTCCAAGCTTTTGCAGAAGCTCAACACTCTAATCCTTCACTAGATCTCATCGTCAGCTACATTTTCCGACCCCACATCGATAGGTTTTGATAAGCGGTTCTCGAGATTTCGAGCAATTTAGACGACGCTCAAGGTGCACTACTATTAGAGAAAATACGGTAACAATGATCGAATGATGGCTAACGCTATTGGAATTAAAATATCTCATCACTTTGTTCTCTTAGTTAGTTCAAATTCTTCATTAACTACCTACACTTTATGTCTATTTTTAATGTTCTTCCAAACATTACGCTTACCGTTTAACTGACTTTTCCTTGAGTTCCTTATCTTTCCCTCACCTAAATCTCTAAATAAACCAATTAAAAGTGGCGGAGATGTGAAAGAAAAGATTTTTCACATGAACAACAATAAATTCCCTTTCCATTGAACATTCTCTTTACATTTTCTTTTCTTTTCTCTTTTTGAGTGAAGGTGGAAGTCCATTGAGTCAAAAAGGACTTTAGAGGGGACAGCTGACCCCTCTAAAAGATCTCATCAAAAGGCTCAAAATGTCGTTTCTTTTTTGGGTCTCAGCCAATCAAAACTTTTATTTCTTTCAAAGAATCGGTGAAAAGTTTGATTTGATCTTAAATTTGATCTAAATTTGGATTTGATCTTAAAGCTGATTGTGAGAACAAGAATGTTAAGAGAAACTCGAAACTTGGACGGCGAGTAAACTCAAGAGCTTTCATTGTTGATTTAGGCTTTTATCAGTTCTTCCGGTCCAGTCTTTTGACAAAATATAGAGCTTTTCATTGTGAAAAGCTATCATAAAACGAATGTAAATTCAAAGCTGAATATCTTCTTTTTATACCATCTACAAAGCAAAAGAATAATCCCTGTAAAGAGGGCGCGGGCACATTCTTTATGCGCGGGCACAATCGCTCGGCATCTGGCACACCCACCTGATAGATAAATACTGCAATTATGCTTAGAAACTCTTTAAAGAAAATACTTTTGATTTCCCTAAACTCTAAAAAGGGTACTTGTCAATTTTTTTCCCGGTCATTGGCAATGCAAGTTCAAGAAATTAGTGAAACCTATTTCGACATGATCGTTTATCCCAAATGCAGTTTGTTTTGTCATTTTTGTTTTGTCAAGCTGTAGTAAGCATCATTCCACATTTTCATGCACATTCTTTAAAATGAAAATCATCTTTGCGTATGTAAAGTGAACAGAAAAAAAGAAATCGACAAGTACCCTAAAAAGTGACACGAAATCTTTGTGGGTAAATGAGGTAAATGAGGAATAAATGAGGAATAAATGAGGTAAATGAGGAATTAAATTTATTTTATAAATGAGGAATTAAGTTTTTATTAATTAAATTAATAAAAAAAGTTAATCTTTAAAGAAATTTAATCAATAAATTTATGAAATAAACTTGAAAATTTCGAAAATTTCGAAAATTTCGAAAATACATGAATTTTCTGCTTCAAGAACGTTGTTTATAAGTACGCTTTGTGTGGGGAAAATTCGAAATTTATAAACTAATACCTGCTAAAGTTTTGTAAGCATCAAAAATTTTGTCCCATCGCAGCCCATTTCATGAGATGAAACTGCCTATGTCTAAGCGACGTAAAGCGCTGAGAGACTGAACCGGCCTCCTCATTTGGTCGTCACTATGCAATGTCTGAAAACACGGTGTTTACCTATGCAGACAAAAAAAAACAATATCTTCTAACTAGTTACTAAGACAAACATACTAAGCAATTGGCTTTAAATAGAGCAAACAAAAAAAAAACTAAGAATTACAGTTACAAAGAATTTTTCGGGCTTTTTAGGAAGAGGGTTTCCTATAGTAGTCTTATAGTAGAGAGAATGCGGTAGTGGTGTAAAATAGTGCCCCACCCTCTAATAGTAATCTACTCTAGAGAGGGAAGTACCCAGAGGGAAGTACCCTCTAATAGTACCCCATGGGGTCCAATGACAGTATTTACGGTAGGTGTTGAGCGACGTAAAGCGCTGAGAGACTGAACCGGCCTCCTCATTTGGTCGTCACTATGCCCAAATCCTTGGGACCAATTTCCGCCCCAAATTTGGGCTGTATTTTCGCTAGAAACTCGTGATCCGGTCAAACCAAAACCAGCTGAGACACAAAGCTTCAACTTTCAACTGACCCAAAAGCTGTTTTTGCCCAAAAGCCCAAAAGCTTTTTAAGATCTATTCTTGGATGAAACTCAAGGGTCATTTTCCCATCACACAAAGCTGTCAGTGAGAAAGAATTGAGTGAGAACGGGCGAAAAGTTTGTGACAAAGAATACTTGCTCAAATCTTTCATTTGAAAATGAGATACTTTTAGTTTCGATTGTTCGTCAAGTGATTTTAGAATGATAGCAGCAAGATGGTTTTGTTAAACTGACAACTTAAGATGTCAAGTCAGCCAATAGCTAGAGCGCAATGATTGCTGCCGATTCAATCTTTATCAATCTCAAATTTAAAACCCCGTCGATGTTAAAGCTTGAAAATTCAATCTTCCCGTGATTAATCTTGTGTAGTTCTTGTCTAAGCAATTGGCTTTAAATAGAGCGCATTCATTCTCATTTCATGCAGTTCCCCATTTCCTCTATCGATTTCTCAATTCAAATCCCCATCTTGTGACAAAATGTGTCTTCATTCTCATTTCATTCATTTCCGAGACTTGTTTTTGATCTCGACCTTATCAATTAATGGCCAAAAGAGAAAAACAGGAAATAGGGACAACTGTTCGATTGAAAAGAAAGCAAAAAAAGAATTTCTTTAGTTTTTCAATCAAAAAAGAGGTGAGGAAAAAGTGATTTGACGAGGAAGTTTCTTTTTTATATTTCGGTGCTATCGTTCTCGATTTAGTCTCAACGAGCGGCTAAATCCGGAACTGATTACACATACACTACTGGACAATGAAATATCATATTTGAAAAATGATCGTCACTTTCGTGCGTCTGTAACTCCCTTGTCTTTACCGTATTTCTAAATATTAATATTACCATTGTGTAGCCCTTCAAAAGAGCTTTCAGAAAATGTACAACACTAATAGTTTAAACTCAAAAACAAGGGAGTTACAGACGCGCGAAAGTGAGGATCGTTTTTCAAATATCATATTTCATTGTCCAGTACTCTACATGAACAAAAAATGGATAAAGATCTTGATCTTGCCATTCATTCTGGATGGTTTTATTTCTAGATTTCTAGATAGATTTCTAGATAGATTTCTAGATAGTTTAAGCAATCCAAGTGTTGATTTTATTTGCATTGTTGTTTTGAGGGTGAAGGTAGATTAAGATTGAGTTTGTCTATTTGTTCTTTGTGGGTTTGTTCTATTTACAATCCTTCTTTGTGGGTTAGCTTCATTTTTTACATTTCTTAGCTTAAATCAAGCTTAAAAACTAACTGGTTAACTTGAAGTTTAATAAAATCTAATTTATTTAATAAAATTTAATTTATTTAATAAAATTCTAAGTTCTAAAGATACTAAATCAATTTTAGGAGAATTCATAGATACGATTGAATATTTTCTAGATTATCTAGTGCCGAACTAGAGCGCTTTTTTAAAATTAGAACTTTTTGCCATTTATTTTGAAGATCGAAAGTGTTTCGAATGGGGAAGTCCTTTTTTTTTTACCTTTTCTCCTTTTCCATTCCCTAAAATGATCCGATTTTCAATGCTTGACTGCCTTCTAAACTTCATTTTTTCCTTTTTTCAAAGTTGACTTCAGCATATTTTAGAAAACTTTAGGAAATGCTCAAACGCGTTCTTATTCACAAATGAATCTTAGAGAATGGTAAACCGAATGAATTCTTCATTTCCTTCTTTCTTCATTCTCATATTTGCTTTGATCATAAATTTAGAGAGATAAGGAACCAAATTCGTAGAGATAAGCAACCAAATTGCGATAGATAAGCAACCAAATTCGTAGAGATAAGGAACTAAATTTAGAGAGATAAGGAACTAAATTTAGAGAGATAAGCAACCAAATTTAGAGAGATAAGCAACCAAATTGCGATAGATAAGGAACCTCTTTTTTTCTTTTCTCGTTTCCATATTTTCTT